CCCTCCTTGCTGTGGGAGCCGCTCTTTGAGTACTCCCTCTTTCGTCCGTGTGAAGGACGGTCGTCTACCTCCCGTGAAGTTAATACATCACCAAAACAGTCTCACCCGATAAATAAGTGGCGTAGGCCGCAAACTGCCCGTGTATTGTTAGCACTCGACGCCTTCCGCTTCGCGCGGCAGTCGCGAGGCCATCTTCGCAAAGCCATATCGGTGTTGAACCTAGATTGACTTGACCTATCCTTCCCAGGAAGCCTCGGTGTTTGCCACCGGGATTGGGTTTTCGACGCTTGGCGACGACGTTGTAAAACAAGCCGATTCACTTCGTGAACTCGGCAACCAGGTTGTTACCGTTTTTTGTTTTTTCCTCTGTTTTTTNGGGGGGGGGGGGGGGGGGGGGGGGGGGGGGGGGGGGGGGGGGGGGCAGCATGTGAAAGAGGGCATTGCTGTCGCAAGGCGACGCGAAAGGAGAGGAACATGGAAGGCACCTTTAGGTGATATATTTTTCCACCAGTTATGTTCCGGCATTCTCAAGGCTATGTGAATACGGGCGGCTGGTGAGAGATGGTTCACAGACGAAGACAAGGACGTATGATATCCCTCTGACTGAAAGGGTCTAGGAAAGGGCAAGTATGTAGTGAAAATGCATGCACGGACAAAGAAGAGTTACGATATTCTTGGTAGTGATACCTCTGGTGAAAAATGTATGCACAGAGAAAGAGAAGCTTACGATACCCCGGTACTCGGAAGAGTCTGTCAACACGGGCAAGTGGTGTAAGTTGGGTCAACAGACCAAGACAAGGACTTTTGATACGTCTGGCACTTTGAAGGGTTTCATATGACTGCCAAGATGCAAGTAGAGACAAAGACAAAGGGCTTAGATGCCTCCGACACCCTCAAGGGTCTGTGAACACGGGCAACTGGTGTAAGATGGAATCAAAGGTAAAGACAAAGGATTGACGATATCTGTGGCAAGACCACGTGTCTGTGAACACGAGCAACTGGTGTAAGATGCAACCATTGTAGGCGGGCCACAACTCATGTTCCCACGAATGGGAGAGAAACAGAAGAACTTATTGGACAAAGACTAAGGGCTTAGATACCTCCGGGACCCCCAAGGGTTTGTCAACACGGGCAATCACATGTTAGACGTCTGGCTTGCAACGATCTGCCAAAATAGATACAACAGGGTTTTCGCACGATTGAGGGCGAGGTTTCCGATTGAGAGCGAGAACCAAAAATTTCGAAATTTGGGTCCAGACGCCTCCCGTCATTTCTCGGGAAGCAGGGGACGGTCTCTTCCAAAAAGCGGCGCAAATTGAACCTCTCCTTCTATGCGTGTCACTGCGATCGGCTGCAGTAGCGAGGAGCTACGCACGTTGCTAGATTTCCCCAGATTGGCTATTCCTGCCCGAAACTGTTTCAGGGCGCCGTCGCCTGGCGTGGTAGGCCCTCCCGTAGCTTCTGCTCCGCGGTGTAGCTCCACAACGCGAGACACCAGCAGGATGACCCGGGTATCGGCTTGTAGCTATGGGCTAGCCCTTCAATTCAAGCCGCACATCAAGCTCTACCTCTCAGCAGTAGACAAGCTACATCGTATCGCACGATCTCGCTCTCAATCAGATACTTCGCTCTCAATCGTGCGAATATGTTGTTATACATGATTCGGCATGCACGACAATGGAAATGAAGAAAACGAAAACAAGAAAAGTAGGAGACACGAAACGGCAATGAAACCGCCACAAGAGGAAAAAAAAGCCTATTAGACTATATACAATAGGAACGATTCATCCAGTGGTACGTCGCGACTGAATATGGGACAGCAGTCCAATGCATAGAAGAATAAATCAACGTGCTGTAGCATGCCGAAGGGTGTGTCAACACGGGCAACTGGTGTAAGATGCAAGCATTGTGGGTGGGTCACAAATCACGTGTTCGCACGAATGTAGGACAGGAAGAGGAAGCACATCCTTATTGTACAAAGACAAAGGGCTTTGATACCTCAGGCACCCCCAAGGGTCTGTCAAGACGGGCAATCACATATTGTACGTCTGGCTTGAAACGGTCTGCCAATATAGATACATGATGCGGCGTGCACCACAATGGAAATGAAGAAAACGAAAAAAAGGAAAAACAGGAGACACCGAAAAGGCAATGAAATCGCCACAAGAAGAAACGCCTAGGAAAGATTCATCCAGTGGTACGTCGCGACTAAATATGGGACAGCAGTCCAAAGCTAGAAGGAAATATCAATGTGACAAGGCCAACGATGGGTCGAAGAAAATTAACGACAACAGTAAGTAGTCGGTGTCGTCGGTGTCGTCGGCAGCGTCGATGAGGTCGTCGTCATCGAAAATGACGTCGTCGTCGTCCGGGTCGTCACTGCCACAGTCGCTGTCGGGGATGGAGCTGTTGTCGGTGTCGTTGTTGTCGTCGTCGCTAGAAGACGTGTCGGAGGGAGGCGCCACGTGCTTGTTGCTGCGCTTGGCGTTGGAAGAAGATTTTTGGTTGGAGGCGGATGAGGATGATTTCCGTTTCGAGTTGGAGCGGTCGGCCGCGGTACGGTCGTCGCTGGAGGGGTCGATGGTGGTTCGGGCAGGGCGGCGGGACGTCTGTAGGCGCTGGATGTTTGCGGGGTCGCTATCGAGAGTGACCACTTGGTAAGCCGACCTCTGGTTCTGACCCCACTTTGTTTTTTCGACAGCTGCGACGTACTTGGTCCCAATGAACCAACCCGAGCGATTCTTCTGTTCGTCAGAATCGAGGTTGACGTACTCCTCGCCGTCGCAGAGGAAGGCGTCCTCTAGAACCTATTGTGAGCAGGGGAAGAGATCGGCAGGGGAGGCGGATGGAAATCGTTAAATGAAAAGCGTGACGGTGTGTCACAGGCGGAGGACACGGTGTGTGTGGAAGCATGGTGTTGACGAGGTGAGAGAGGATGGAGTAACGGCGGGCGTCGGGCGGGTATCGGTGGTAATCTCGAAGGGTATGCAACGTAGAAAGTGCAATCAATATGGTAGATGATAATAATCAATTTCTTGAATACGAAAAGTCGTGGCTAAGAAGATGCGAATACAATGAAGTACCTTCGTATTGATGGACATGGTTGATGGGATGGGAAGGCCATCCGGGGAGATGGGGCCGCAGCCATGGACTGAGTTCATGGGGATGACGGTGAAGAGGGTCCGAACCATGTCGTACGTGTTGTGGACGTAGCGGTCGGTCTTGTTGGAACAAGTTGTGGGGAGGGCGTCGGTTGGGTTGGCGGTGGCATTGCAGCCGTTGTGCCCACACTTCATGCGAACGATGGGTCGGGAGGAGGACAAGTGGAGGATGAGGGAGTAGAGGCCCTCTGGCGTCTGCTGAGCGGCGAGGCAGTCGGTCCTCAATCTGTCGAAGACTTGGTTGTCAAGGTGGTCGTACGTGTAGTAGTTGGAATCATGCAGTAGCCACTGGATGTTGGTGTGGTCGCCTATCCTCGTGGAATGGTATATTCTGGGACATGGGAAGGTATGATGAGTAAGGAAAACTCGCAAAGGGTAGGAGAAAGCGAAGTAGTGGGTTGTCGTTAACATGAAAGGAGGAACTGAAAGAAAGAGTAAGGTATTAAATTTCCAACCGTACAGTAACGGAATTAAATGTGTTTTCGGGACATCACCACGATAGTACCACTGCACAAGACGTCGAGTTATGTGTCCCACAGCAGTACATACTTCGAAGTATGTGTGTTTCCGATTACGATCCCTTGCGCAAGAAAGAAAATTTGAAATATATATATTTTGCCTTGACCATCATGTCCTACCGGTACATGTCCTATCGGTCATATTCAACTCAACGAAAATACAGCTAGTGTAGTACTCTTTACGTCAGAAGTTTGTATTTTCAACGGTTTTCGCACTCTCACCTTCCTTGGACGGAGAGGAGATGATCTCCGAACATTTTCTTGAGCTCACCATCTTCTACATACATTCAGAGGCACGATAGAACGACAGCAGTTGTAGGTCCGCGAGTTATTGATAAACTTGACAGCCCAATCTTCGACAGAGAGAGGTGTATATCTCCTCCATCAGCGGCCGCGGGAGAATGCCTTTGCCGTTCTTACAGCACATGCCCTTGGATTCCTTGGCAAAAAAAAGCTTGGCACCACAATGCGGACAAGGTTGGGCGTACTATAGGTTGACGCCCGCATCGTCACGTGCGGCAGCTAGGGCTTCTTGCCGTCGGAGAAAAGAGTCTTGAATGTCGGACAGGCCATCATCTTCTTACACGGAACATTTCCATCTCCCACACACTCCATTTCTCTGCTACTACTGCACCTCTAGCATCACGTTGGTCTGCCCGCCTCCGGCGTCGGCGTTCGTTGATGCCTGTGTTGTTGATGTCGTGACTCTGGCGTCGGCGTTCGTTGATGCCTGTCTTGTTAATGTCGTGACTCTGGCGGCGGCGTTCGTTATATGCCTGTCTTGATGTGGTGACTCTGGCGTCTCTTCGCGTTCTTTTCGATGTTGACGGTCCTCCGCTCGGCGTACAAGATGCGGTCCCGCTGGTTTCTCCGCAAGCGCTGTCTATCTATCGCAGTGTTCTTGTTGATGCCCATGTTGTTTGTGGGGACGATGACTTCGCAGGTGGATTGTGGGGTGGAGGTGGGTGTGTCTCGGGTGTCTTATGGTCATCTGTAAAAGAATCTCCACGGATTGTGGGATGTGCGCCTTCAGAAAAAGATGAGATTTTTCTTCCCGCTCATGAAAAAACTCTAAATCCACAACTCCCTCTGATGTTGGCGTGAGCCATGTCTCCTACCTGCTACTTGTGTGTGGTTCACCATCGGTGCCACAATTCAACCACCGTAGCGCTGTCGTGAGAAGCACGAAGGACGCTCGCTGCTGCTGTGGTGGACATATCAAACGTTGCAGCAGTTCAGCAGTGCTCCGCACGCGCTGTACTGACTGTTCACGAACTTCGTGCGGAGATTACTGCTGTAGTCTGTATCGTCCGAGGTGGCCACCATGCGCTGGGTCGGGGCACCCGGCATTACCTAGTGGCATGGGTTTGTGTAGACCCGTGCTTGAGGAGGTATTGGGGTCCGTGCTTGCAATCACACCACAGTGGGACACAGGCTGTCCAATACTTTTGCGTGAAACGTGACGTTGCAGCAGTTACATGAGCAGTGCTCCGCACGCGCTGGACTGTCCACGAAGTTCGTGCGGAGATTGCTGTAGTCTGTATCGTCCGAGGTGGCCACCACGCGCTGGGTCGGGGCAACCGGCATTACCTAGTGGCATGAGTTTGTGTAGACGCATGCTTGAGGAGGTATTGGGGTCCGTGCTGGTGAGGACACCACTGCTGTGGGACACGGGCTGTCCAATACCCCTTGCGTGAAACGTGAGCAACAAAAAAAAAAGAGCCCACACACTATTTCTTAGCACGCGACGGACGACGACGACCATCCTGATCGTACCATAGTCTATTATTATTAATTAACATTATGATGGTCGAGTAGATCATGTTGTGCGGGGTCGAGAACCCTCACTCCGCGCAAGGGGGGTAACCGCACCACGTTGTGTTAAAATGGTCAAGCACCCTTGAGGCAGTTACACAGTGCTCACAACTGTCTCAGGAAGCGAAGGCACCACAAAACAAATTAAGTCATTCGCAGCTGTCATCCGTACGCAAGGAAGTAAGCACAAGATGCCGAACACCCTTAGCAGGATGGAGCGCACCCTTCATGCGACTCGCCGAATACCCCACGGCGCTTCGCGCTTGGTGATGTGAGAGCCTGGTCCGGTGGGAACCCGGCGTGCTCCGTCCCGGCTTTGTAGGTTTTCCTTTTTTCTTGGCCGAACTGAGACTGTTCATCGACCGTCTGCTGGTTAGCGCGGTCGAGACGCTAACGATGAAGGCACGCAGCAACGAACGTCAGCCATCCTAACCCTAACACTCTACATTTATTTACGACGAAATGGCCATAGACTACATGGACTAGACACCTTTCAGAACAAATTGTCCGAGGTTGAGGCGAGGTACGTCCATTCGGTTGTTGCTATAAGAATCACGACGCGTGGAGGCGGCGAATCACGGAATCAAACTAAGGGTGATAGCGCTTGCGCCACGTGCTTCCCTCGTTGTCCTTCTCGGACCCTTTCGCCTGCTTCATCGCGCCCAAGAAAAATCATCATTGGCGCCGGTCTCTCGTCTGGTTGTTCTCATCGCCAGAGGCAGCTTTCCGCCACCGCATGCCCATGACGTTAACCGAGTTGTTGCCCAACTCGGAACACACGAATAGCCTGTGGGGTCAAGACAACCTCGAGTGTATGCTGCTCAAGCGTAGACCTGCCCCACGTGCAATGTAGCTTGTGGCCTGCTGACAATGCTGGCGTTGTCTTCGCGCCCGCCCGAGCGGCTTTTCAGAAAACGAGTGACCGCGATTGGACCGCTTCCTGTATCTACAACATGGGTTATGTGCCTGTTCGTTTAACTCCTCATTGTGCTTTCCAAGTGGCGGGAAACTGACAACATAACACGCCTGCAGTATATTCATGGACTCCATGAATTAGCGATTCGCCGACTCTGTCCTCTTGCTGTTCACGGGACCGCCTTGGGTGTTCTCCCTTTCCATGATTGCGACCAACAAAGTTCATGAGTTTCCCTTGAAAGGCACGGAACGCGAAGCCTTTGATAGAGGTCAAGCGAACTTCATGTTGGGACAGCGACATAAACATCAGTCAAGTACACACTCCCCTCCCCGGCCTGCTCCCCGGCCGGGGCCGAAATCGACCTTGTGAGTCCCTCGCGGGCGAACCAGGCCACAACAGATAGTAGGTGGGTGGTGTCCCAAGGTGCAACTCACCGCCACGCTGGCTCAGCGTGGCGGTGAGGATGCACAGACGGTGG